AGCATCGAGAAAGCGTGTTCCTATTTTGAACCTCGAGCGCCGGGTAAAAAAATGAAGTAGTGAATGCTAATTTGCGTATAAAACCATTTAGACAGCTCAACTCAATGGAATATTAAGATAAGATTAAAATGTTTTTTTTTTTATCAAGCACAATGGAGTTCTAAGGGCTAAATGACGATAATTAATTATTTGAAACGACTTTTCGACGCCAATTTAAAAGGTTCCTTAATCGAGTGCAAGATATATTCAATTCAATGTACTTTCTAAACCTGTCAACCAGCTCTCAAACCTGTGCTTTCGATGTAAATAAGCGAGATCACGTGTCGTTCTACGCATATGATCCCACGCATCTAATTTTGCCGTACCTGTGACAGGAAAAGGCCTAGCCAAATATAATAACTAAAGGTACCATTATCATTATCATTATTATTGTCTCTATTATCACAGTCTTTGCTGGTGTTCTTTTTGTGCATCAGCCGGGCAAAAAACCAGTGCACCTAGAGCGTCAGTCACTCAAGTCAATCATTCTGTTCATACACTGAGCACCTTTCTGAGGATTCGTGCAGATCCCAGCATGCAGATCTTTTGAATCTCTGTCATATTAGCTCTTTCTGATACTTTCTTGATGTTTTCTACCATACCCTTCTTCACTGTACCAAGCGCACCAACAACCACCGGGATTTATTATTATTATTATTATTATTATTATTATTGTTATTATTATTATTATTATTATTATTATTATTATTATTATTATTATTATTATTATTATTATTTTGAAAAAATTTCTCTTTGGGCTAATATTTTGAAACCGGGCATTTGAATAATTCAACTATATACCAAAAAAAATTTTTCCAGTCCATCTATAAACCTTTGTTCGGCAAGACAGTGTCGCGCTATTTCATAATTCTAAAACTTCTCTTTCCTCTTGGGCGAAATTACTTTTCATTTGATTTTATCCCAAATTTGGGGGCGTTTCAGTAAATAACGTATATCACCTTACTTATGGTCTAATTTCGCTATCTCACCTGACGCCAGCCCAATTTTCTAGATGGCTGATTATACACATGCAAAATAAGCTCAAGTTTGCTTCAAATTGTGCCCACGAAATGCTGAATTTGAATAACAATCTGGGTCTGCAGGACTAAATAACGGGACGATGGTTTCGAGACCTTATTACATGGTGACGTAAATGCCATTCTCGGGAAAAAGAAAACTTCAATTTATATCCTTATTTAAACACCTATTTTATAAGAATAAAAAGACATCAGCGAAAAATTTGTGAAAGAAAGGGATTTAGGACGTTTCGAAGTCTCCGTAATTTCCGGTTTTTCAAGTGAAACGTTTTGACCTTTGAAGAGTATAAATTAACTCCATTTGAATAGTGAATTATTAACTTAAGAATAAGGCCAGAATGTCTTCGTTTCTTTTCGCTTATTTTCCTTATTATCTGTTTATCGAAATTTTTGCTTAAAAATATGAAAATTAAAAGAAATTGCGCTAAAATAAACCATCGTAATTAAAAGCATTCTCTTTATCATTACAGTCAACTTCTTGCCCTTTTCTGTCGCTGGAAAATGAGGAGACCCTCCTCAGAGCTAGGATAAGAATGAATACAGGATGCGATAATCTTGCTTTTCAATGACCGTATTCTCTCGAATTATAGCCGCCCCTCGATTTATCGCTTCCCTTTGACGGAAATATTTAAAATCATCGCTTCCCTCGAATAATCGCCTCCCCCACCCATCCCTTTCGCCACCGTCTCTGTGAAATGGAGTCTGAATCCAGCAAACTGATCAGTGACGATTGAAGTTCCGCAACGAGGATATTGACTTTAATCAGGGAACCAAATTAGGAACACTTAAAAAGTCCATATTCAGTTTAGTTGATGTAATTTTTTTTATTCAGTCGGAGAATAAAACAAAATATTTAGAGAAAGACTTCCAGTGAGCAATATTTGAAATAATCGCCTCCTTCGAAAAATTGCCATCCCTCGAATAATCGCCGGGCCCTTTTGGTGAAAAAAAAGTAATGACCCCGGCTATTATTCGAGAAGACCTTTCTTTCCAGCGCAAAGGAGCTTGAGGAACTATCCTCCTAGAGTCAAAGAATTTTCTGAAAATGGGTAGGCAGGACTCGTAAACACTTTTTTCTCCTAAGCGCTGGGTCGACTTTTTATCCGTTATCTTCTTAAAATAAGCTGTAGAACATGAATCATTGAGCATTGTTCAGTAGAATGTTATTCACTAGAGGTCAAATGTTCTCATTTTAAGCTTTTCTTCTAGAAAACTTATTCTGCAATTTTCCTCTCTGTTGTTTTTTTCTCTATTTCACGTGTCGTTTCCGTTCAGTCTGCCGCTTGCATGTGTCCACGTGTAAGGGGAGGGGGGGGTGTTGTTGCGTTGGCAGCAATACTCCTCATTATGTTATTCTCTTGCCTTTCCCCTATTCCTGCTACGCATTAGATATGATTATGATTATGATTATTATTATTATTATTATTATTATTATTATTATTACTTTACTTTATTGTCGCCTGAATGTTCTACTCTTCAAGACGAGTTCGAGTTATTTGTCGGAGTCAGAATCTAGCACAGGAAGACTCTCAGCTCTATCTTTTGACTCTTATGTAATTTTGAATACTAATATAATAATATTCAGCGCACGTCCGGCTCTATAAAAATTTAATATCCAAAAGAAATAATCATTTCATTCCCAAAAAGAAAGCACAAAAAAACCAGGAGATTTTTTTCAAATTAAGTATTGTTGCACTCACATCCACATGAAGAAGCGGTTAATCAACGGTTGTTAAAAACTGACAGCTCTTCAAAAAAAACACACATTTTTTTTTTTCTACCAGTGATTAACTTATACAGAATCAGTAGGGCATTGATTTATCAATATATACTGGTATCAGAAAAAGATGCCGAAATATTTAATTAATATGTAAAACACACTGATTCATATTCACACAAAATATGCCCTCTGAATTATGTAATTCATACAAAAATTCACACTTTCTTTAAATTATGAACTTAAAAGAGCGCCCCATACCCTTCTTAAGACCATATCAATCTGATAATAGCTTTATTTTGTTTTTTAAGCAGGTCATGCTTTTTTCATTACAACGGAAATAATAAGAAGTGAACAAGCTGTGAACACAACATTGGCTACCACTGTCAAGGGTTGTATATATTGAGGAAAACAAAATTCATTAACACATGGTCATATTGTTGACTATCGAAGATCTGCAATGTTGCAGCTCTACTGGCTGATTCTCATGTCTGGTATGTATAAAAAAAAAACCCTTTTATTTTATTTTGTTTCGTTTTATAATATTTTGTGTTCGTCAAAATTGTTCTTTCCGATTTAAAAATTAGAAATTTAGGGCTATTTTGAAAAGCAAAGTTATAAAAATAATTGTAAACGTATTAAATTAAATTCAGAGCCCCGTCAAGTAGAAGATTCCTTATTACTTTCTCATGTAATTTAATTTAGGCTATTAACTGATAATCTTAAAATGAACCAAATCAGTTCAAGCAACATTTGACCCTTCCATAATTTTTTTTTTTTTTTAATTTTTCAAACCTATAGTCTGTCATGACAACTAAAATTTTATCAAAATTTGATTTTTACTTCAAATCTAGAGAATGGAAAAACAGTTGCATGTAAACACGTGCTATTACATTCAGCTTAAATTCTGTTCGTGAAACTGACGAAACCCGTAGACTTTGAGACAAGGGCGTTAACGCACCTTCATTACAAAATAATTTTCAGAAGAAGCTGTTGAATGTATATCTAAATCTTCTATTCCACCAAAATACTTGCATAACAAAATGCCTATTATTATATATTAATAAGCCATTCACCTTAAAGTTCCCTTCTCAAGATTACAATCTTTTTTATTTATAGCCAAAGGGTGTGATAGTAGAAAACCTCTGGCGTGCTTTTCGTTGTGTAATATTAGACTGAGTATTAGCTTACTAGTTAGTATCCGCTTTAAAATACGCACCATTTTTTTTTTCGTGTTATCTGAAAACCTACCATTTTACTTTTAAACACGACGAACCCTCCGTCCATATGATTAGGTTAGTGTCCGCTGTTAAAAAAAAACCTTATTGGTACCTATTTTTGAGGGCCTTTAATATCACGTTTTTCGCGATTGTAAAAGACCGCGATAATAAATCAAAAAATATGTAAAAATGTAATAACAACACATGCAGGATATGTATCGACAAATACACATTTTTTTTACTTGTAAGTTCCATTTTGTAACTTCTGTTTTGAAATAACGCTAATTTGCAAAGATACAGTTTTCACACGTGGAGTAGACAAAAGGTGTGTTTTAATGGTTCCAGTTTATCAGAAATTTTACAAATTTCAGGCTTTTTGAAAAATAAGATGAAGTTGAGAACGCTTGAATCGCGACATGTAATGCTCTTTTTTTCATTTTTGCCTTCAAAATTACGAAATAAATAAAACCCCGGAAAAATACTGTCTCACCCAAATCGAGAAATAGATTACCCGCGAACTTCAGTACCAAAAAGGGTACTAGGATGTTTCAAGGTTGGCAGTGTGGCGAATTTGCAGGTGATGCTGACGTTTGTTGTAATAACGGAGCTAAGCCGCGATTGTTTTTTGTTCACCCTTGGTAAGGTTACCCGGATTTTGCTCGTGGAATCCGGAATCCTAGGGAATCTGTAATTCTACCCAAGGAAATTCCGCGAACGATTGGAATCAGTAATCCACATGCGTAGCGTTGGGATTCAGAATCCATGAAAGACGGTCTTGTTGCAAATGATATCGGTCTTGTTTAGTTTTGGTGCTGGTCACAATGACTGTGTTAGTGATGGCGTTAGCCGTGTTGATGAAGGCGGTGGGTTGCTGTAGTTATGCTGGGGTTGTTGGTGTCGACATAATTTTATTGTTATGCGCGCGCTTTTATTAACGATTTTTTAAATGATTTAGGTTTCTTTTTCTCAGATTCACTTTGTTTCATCATGGGAACTGAATATCACATAGATAATACTAAAACGACCTGGGAGAAAGCAAATGAACTGTGCAAAAAAAATGGGTCGGTTTTGGCCGAGCCTTCCCACTCAACGATAACCGAGCTCGCTGAAAGGCTCAGATCACTGGGATATACGAATTCTGATAGCTTCTGGATTGGACTCACTTTCAATCCCGCTTCTAGCCAGTTTGTGTGGAGTACCGGAGACATCGCTCACCAAAACCTGGTCAATTTGACGTGTGGAAAATTCGCGGGAAGCTTTCGCCGCATTTGCTACGTATTGACGAATATAGATCATTCTTCTTCGTCACCATGTTTTTTAAGATGGAGCTGCCAAGATGCCAGATATGGTTATATCTGCCAAAATGGCCTCGAAGGTAAGGTTTTAACTAATAGTTGTCAATAAATATATCAGACGGGTATTCATTTATTGTAAATAACCACACAGGACGTGACTGAAGCCTCTGCTTCGATCACCAGATGTGACGAAACAGTTTAGTATAGATAACTTATTGCCTCTTGACAGTAGTGGTGTTACCCTTATTCAGTTTCCCTGAATATTGTTTTCTTAAATCTAGTTGCTTAGTGCATGTTTTTAAAATGACGGAGATTAAATGAAGCGCCTGACCTAATCAGGGATAACCTAGCAGCCATCTATTAGTCTACTTTTTACCAGCGTATACAGGGGCGGATCCAGGATTTTTTTTAGGAGGGGGTGCACTCGTCTCTTGCTCTACTTCAACACCAATAAACCACACTTCTTTTTTTTTTTTTTTGCAGAATACCAGTTGTATTAGAAAACCGCAGGTCATCTCAGGGAGGGGTGCGCACCCCCTGCACCCTCCCCCTAGATCCGCCCCTGGTATAGTTTTAGAAACCTCCTCCCCGGCTAGCCTGAATTTCATCCGATTACTTCGAGTCGTTATTACTCCTAAGAGGAGAAAACGACTCGAAGCAGTCGGATGAATTTCAGGCTACTTCCCGGCTTCATCCACTTTGTAAACTTTTCTAGACTGTCCGTCATTCACAAACAGACCAACGACTGAGATACAAGGATCCCAAGTAAAAAACATTCTCATAGAATAAGTCGTAATATATTTATTTTCAGCTAAAACACTAGCAACTTCTCATACAAGAGTCCAGCAAGTTCTGCCAACAGCGACAACTAGGGGAATATTTTCTTCAAGCACTTTTTTGACAGCTTCTGTGCCTTCAACTGCTCTCGAAGTTCCGCTAACAGCAACATCTGACAAGGCATTCTTATCCTCAAGCACTTTACCTGCTCTGTCCTCAACTGCTCTCGACGTCCTGCCAAGAATGACAGGGAAGGTATTAGCTTCAAGCACTTTACCTACTGTCGAACTTCTGCTAACAGCACCATCTAGCAGGGCATCGTTGTCTTCAAGCACTTTACCTGCTGCGTCTTCAAATGCCTTCGAAAATCTGCCAACAGCATCGACTGGTAAGATATTAGCTTCAAACACTGTTCTTGCCGTATCTTCAAATGCTCTCGAAGTTCTACCAACAGCATCAACTGAGAGATCCTTAGCATCAAGCAGTCCTTCGTCCCTGTCTGCGACTGCTCTCGAAGTCAGAGTGCCAGCGTTAACGGCTTGGAAAACAGTTAATGCCAACATAACCTCCAACAGTGTCAAACGGCACTCTAACTATCCGGTAAGTCTGACTCAAAGCGAAATTCCAGCTAAGGCGTCATCGCAGAGTACGAAGATAACGTTCATATTGGTCAAAAATCCTGTGGCGGACCAAGAACGTCATATAATTGGGGATGCCTGCCATCCAGATCCCGGGGGTGACCCTAAAAAATTTTTGTACGACCGTGCTCGCTTCAGTTTGCTTTAGAAAGAAGGTAGTGGGAAAGCAAACTCAAAAGATGCTTATACCAGGGGCACCCAACGGCAATTTTCGGGAAAATATCTGTTCGGAAGACGATTTGAGATCTAGAATTTTCGGAGCATTTGTTGTAAAATTTCTTGCTTGCCTGCCTCTCCTAGGATTTTCGAACATCTACAAAATGGTATAATTACTCATTTTTAACGGAATTTTGACCCTAAAAAAGGCCACCTAGAATTTTCGGGAGCCTTTTCCTGGCTGAAATTTTCGAGAACGTAAGTTTTTATCCCTATAATTTTCGGATCACTAGATTTTCAGCTAGGAAATCCGAACAGATGAAAAGTTTTTAGGGGATAAAAATATGCCTTTTTCTACCGTTTGAATACTAAAATACGTTCCACAATGCTATGTTAAGTGGTTTTGAACTATATCCTCGTTGGGTGCCCCTGTTATACTGAGTGTATTCAAACAAAAAAGAAATAGGCTGATCAGGAATCAGCACATTGTCTAGCGCAAACGTAAACCCATTCTTTAGGTTCTTCAGAGGAAAAATTTAAACACCATAACTTGAATCTTCTTGTTTTTATTGATGCTCTAAACAACATCCGGTCGAATCTAGACACATACAGATAACGGTTGAAACTTAATTACTGTTGAAAAGTAGACAGATTCTAAATTTTTGTATACTATATAGATTGTTAATTGTTATTAACGCTTTCCAAACTAAAATGTGTTTTTCCAAACTTGTAATTTTCCGTCAGCCTCATGGAAATTCCTCTGAGTCTTAGCGGAAATATGGCTCAGCAAAATTTTTGCATCCAGATTTTGTAAGTCTCAAAGTTGAAATGCAGAATTTCTGCGTTATCCATTTGTTGTTGATTTTTTAATGAATTTAGCGGAAAAATGGCTCTGCAGAATTTTTGCATCCAGATTTTGTATTTCTCAAAGTTGAAATGCAGAATTTCTGCATTATCCATTTGTTGTTGAGTTTTTAATGAATTTAGCGGGAAAATAGCGCTGCAGAATTTTTGCATCTAGTCTCTAGGTTAAAATGCAGAATTTCTGCCTCATTCGTATTTGTTACAATCACTCCATTTGATTTTTTCTGCAGTTATTAGTCCTTAAGAAGATATTACTGTTTTCGCACTGCAATATTTTAGACCTTGTTCTTACTTCGTACATTTATCGTCATTTCTAACTGTAGATTTTTAGTGTAAAACTCTACTCAGAATAAATATAGGTTATTTCAACAACAACGACTCCGTTGTATTTACTAGGTATTACTATAATAGCTTCTTGTACGCGTCCAGTTATAATATTAACTTTTTGGCGGAAATTGTGTCTTTTGCCGAGGGAAGTTAGGTTTTTCTGACGGAATTTTGAAGTTTGGAAAAACACATTTTAGTTTGGAAAACGTATATTGTTTTTGTAATTCTCCGCTGGGCTGTTTTAATGTCAATTCTTTAAGATTTTTTCTTCGAGTGTTACAATAATATTGCATATTTTAATTTAACAGTTAATTAAAAGCTAGAAATTACTATAAAAAAATTCCACATGTGTTGATAAACTACTTATTTGCAGAGCTAGAAACTCCCCATCGCCCTAACCCTTCAAGCCCTAAGAGTGATCAGAATCAAATTTCTCCTTGTAATATCAGTGCTTTGTAAAACAGAGTGGTCTTGAGAATTACGGACATGATCACACAAGATGAATTTGCTTGATATTTTATCAACTTCTCCCCTCTACTTCGGTAGGAAATGAATAGGAACAACAAATGAGTATTCAAATTTTGATCTTAGGGTTTAAAGGATTAACACACATCCGTTTCTTATTCTTTCAGTTTCTTTTTTTAGCAAGACATGTAAGAGTTTGTTGATAGTGACATTGAGCTAATATTTAATTTATCAATTTTTTTACAGTTGTTAGATTTTTACCGCAAGGTGGCGTCACTAAATCCACAAGACCCACTTTCACTAAAGGTAAGAAACTAATAATTGTATGAGCAATTGATTGGTAAATGAAAAATCTATAAACGTCGACAAAATATGAATCAATTCTCTGGTCTCAACATAGAAATACAAGAAAAAGATTCACAGCAAGTGACTTCTAACCTTGCAAAATGTAGACGCCGCTTCGCTATGGGGACTTAAAATCTGATAGGAAAACGTTCCACATTTCATCAAACCGAAAAAGGACCTTTGTTAGTAAATGATGTCTGTATCGTGAATGAAAACGCAAAAGCTTAGCTGTGAGCAGTCTCTCTTAAAGTTGTTCAGTCAACCCAAGAGAAAACCTTTTTACAACTGTCACCCTGGGCGCAGAGGTAAGCTGCCCTTACAGTAACTGTGTTCGAATTGTACGTGGCTCCTCTCTAAAGGGTCCGCAAATGGTATGAAATTTAATGACGTAGAAACCAACTGTGATGGCATCCTACTGATGAATGACTATAGTTAGACTTCTATATGGGGAAAACAACTGTTTATGATGACCTGCTCTCTTTGACTGACTAAAGACATTTTTGTTTAGGAGTTGCTGCCTCCTTCCTCCTGTATGTACTGTATAGGAACAGATTATAAATATCGTAGAATTGTCTGAGTTTGTAAAGAGGGTTTCCTGCTTAGAATGGAAAATAAACATCCACACTTTCTCTGGCAATTCTCCTCTACTCCACCTTTCATTCTGTCTAAATATTTAGTTAAAAGTAGCTGCACTAGGAAAGCCTTAGCATCTATGCAAATGTATTGGAACAAAAGAACGTTTTTACTTAACAAAAAAGGTTTAACTCCAACTGGATTGGTTTGGAAAAACCAACATGGCTGTCGTTTGAGTATTGTTTAGGGAAACCAATGTGGTCGCCATGACGTCATGTGAAACCGTTCTAAGTAACGTGTACCATGAGATCTTAATAAGCGAAGAAGGTTTGATAAGCAAACAAAAAAGCGTCAGTATCCAGCTAATAATCAACACAAATAGTTTAGAGAGATCACACAGTAATATTGGGGAAACTACCAATGAGAAGAGAACAAGAAGTGACCCTTATTAGTTACGTCCAGACCCTGGTTGTTCAAACGTTGGATAGCGCTATCCACCGTATAAATCTCTATTCAGTGGATAGCGTAATTGACTTCCGTAATATTTATCCACTGGATAGTGATTTATCCGGTGGATTTTAGCGCTATCCGACGTTTGAACAAGCTGGGCCAGGATGATAAGATGACCGTGAAAAAAAAGGTGCGATGAGCTAAGCTAAGAAAGCATAAAATCCAAGAAAAGTTAACTACTGGCCCGTAATTTTTATATACATGTACCATATATATTTATTTTGTTTTTTACAGCTTCTCACAGATGCATTTGAAGAGTTCATACACGCCTTGCAAGAAAACTCCAAAACGGAGATTGGTGAAGGTATAATGTTATCAGCACGAGCTATTGAAGAATTCGCGTTCAAATACGCTTCTTTTAACCTCAATGCGTCAAAAAGGGACGAGAGAAAGGAAAACCAACACATAGGTAAAAAATATATACATGCAGTCACATTTGAGTTCTTACTTACTTAACTTTTGCGTTTTACACTGTTTCTCTCTGTTTAGCCTTATTATCTCCATTACAAAATGGAAGTCAATTTAAACTGTTCATAAACTGACGTGTATCTTCATTTTTTCTTTTATCCCTAGTTATACATGTATCGCTGGTACCTAAAGGTTACGCCAACAATTTTACCTTTTCCGGAGAGGACAATTTTGAGGAAGTGGCAAAACTCACTCTTCCATCGTATTTGTTTCGGAATCAAGGTAATTTTGCTGAGGGGACCAATCAATTGAGATTTGCCCCAGGTTTACTCCTTATAATGGCTTATACAGGGAACTTCGCCCGAAAGGGGTACCATTTAAACAATTTTAGGCTTCAGTTATATAAAAGGGTTGGGTTTTCAATAATTGAAGTATAAGAAAGGGTAGAGAAATCTATCATTTCCATCTGTAAAAAGGCTCAAAAGGGTTAAAGGATTATGGCTGTGAAAAAATCGAGAAAACTTCCTAGCTTTGTGATTTATTCATATTTAAAAGACAGTGCTTCTACAACAACTGAAATTAAAGGGATGGAAAGTTGTATACTAGGTATGTGAATTGGATACCATTTGTCAAAAAAAGGTATACGTAAGGGATATCTTTTCTAATCGAAAATTGTATACAAAAGGGTAAGGGATTGGACCAGTCGGGGCCTTGCCTCCGCGTAGACAAAAGACAACAGACAATACTTTATTTGGGGTCTTATACCAGCTGGTATAAAACTCGTAAATAAACGTATGAAACTCTTTTAAGTACCACCCACCCCCAGGGATTTAACAATGACATACAGGATCCTATATAAGAACGTTCAGAACTTCAATTTCCTTTCTGCATATGTCTTCCAAGTCGTTTCATATTTCTCTCTGTGATGTTTTCAGATACCACTGTTGTTAACACTCTGTATCTTGGTCTTGATGAATACTTTTACAGCTTAGGTCCAAGGTAAGGATGGATTGTCTCAAATAATCCGGATAAAAAGTGTAGCAAACTAAATTTATTTGACTCAAAAGTAATTAGTTATTAAATTTAAATATTTAATTCAAAAGTAAACCTACCCTCCCATTAGATATTGCACATCCCAAGTTTTTATTGCCTTCCGTATTTCATTGAAGTTCTAGCCTTGCAGGTTCTCAACACAATAATTTTCACGAATAGACATTTTTATTTTATTTTACGTTAAGAATTAATTAACGAATCAAAAATTAGTTATGAATAGCTTTAACTTGCAATACTGTATAAGACTGTCGTTGTTGACAGTGACTGGCGTTTCTACAGCCTGTGCGGTAGTCATCTTCAGAGTAAAGTGATTTGTCAGTTGATGGCATTAAACTCTGGTTGTTAACTTTATTGGTCAATTAAGTCGCGATGTTATTGGTGGTCTGTTAGTTAAGCCAAGTAAAATAATAATCCCATACCATTATTAAAGTTATAAATGTACTGAGAAGATCATTACGACAGTTAGTCTAAAAAGAAACCTGCCGTTGTTCATATTTATCAGCCTGTCTCGCCGAGCGTCTCGCTGTAGTTTAAAATTTATTACATCGAAATTGGTTTATAAGATTAACGTTTACTTAATTATTTTATCTTTTCATTTTTTGCCCTTTTTTAGCAACAAACGTATCGGATCCAGTATTTTAGGAAGTAGCCTTAACCCATACCAAGCTGGAGTGTTTAGGGAGAATGTTACTATAGTTCTTCCAACCCTGAAGGTAAACATGTTAATTAACGACTATTCCAAGCGTGCGCGTTAGATATGAGATGGCCATAGTAACCATCGAGGCGCGTAGCGCCGAGTTGGCTATAATCATCTCATATCCAACAAGTGCGAGTGGCATAATTGTTTTATTAAAAACGCCCACAAAATATCGAGAATTATTTCCGACTTTATTTGTAACAACAAACGATTTTCAGCTTGTTTTTGATTTTGAGCAGACGCGCGTACAGTGACTATATTTGGAGAGCATGGTATAATGGCTCATATAACAGTATGCATGCCTAAGCCAATCAGGGCTCTAGAACTGCATTATCCAATGATTCAGTTTTTAATAATGATAATTAAACCTTCACGTACA